TTTGGGCCGTGATAAATTCCTGTTCTGCTTTCAGGCTGTGGATGACACACTTGCCAAACAGGAGGAGCTTGTGGCCAATATTGACCACAACAAAAAAAACAAAAAGCTGGTTTGCTGCTAGACCATACAGACAAACACGCGCACACACACATATATATTATATATAAGTACATATGTATAATACAAAATATCTTAACTAGTTTTTGTTTTCTCATTTTGAAACTTATCTTGGCTTCTATTGCATCTTAACTGGTGACAAATGACAATCCGGACACTTTGAGAACCTCACAAGCTTGGTGATGCAATGATTCTTTTTTCCCCTCTTATCCAAGGCCATCCACACTCTCATGTTGAATATTGTTTCGTCTGTAAATTACAAATGAAAAGTTTTGTTGCATATGCAGTGTGAGACACATTCAGACAATTCATATGTATATCTTGAATAAAAATTGGGGTCTTCAGAATCTATATATATTGCCTAGCAGGTGGCAGCTCGTATTTTACTTAGTCCCAAGACGTGAAAGAGGAGAAAAAAAAAAAGGAACTATTTGGTTCCCATAAATGATGTGTTAGTTCTTTTTCCTTATATTCTTACATTCATTTGTTAATGCATATAATATATTGATGAAAAGAATCATATAAAAATGCATATATTTATTTATAAAAAAATCATATAATAGTAGAGTGAATGTTCGTAAAGAATAAGAACACATAATACTATTTTAGAAATTAAAAATAATTATTGTTATTCTTTTTTTATTTCATTCTCATTTTTTGTTCTCATTTTTACTATGATGTAAATACTGCTTTTATTTATTAATTATCAACTAACTTTTTTTTTTTCACTAAAATTAATCTCCTACCTCGTTATTTTAATTATATATTTTATTGTATCCATTTAATATATTTAAAGTTTTATTCTCAAATTATTATCAAAGAAATCAGAATCGTACCTCTTTAATAAGATATATAATTGGTTCTTTATATATGTATAAGTAGATCCAATATACTGGTATCTTATTCAAAAATCAGAGGACATCGTTTTCTTGTCTATACAAACGGAACTTCAACAATTCAAAATGCTTGCTTGGAAAATTAGGGTTTTATTCAGAGTCCACTACAATTGTACAAATTTAAGAAAGATACACAAGATAAGGGCACAAGGCAGAGCCCTCTACTCCTAAGTTCTGCCTTTTCTCCTTCCTTTTCATCTTCTTCCTTGCTCGAACTCTGTAAATTTTTTTAGTTGATTGTAAGATTATATTTAAAACAAATAAAAATTTATATTTATTTCAATTAAGAAATAATACAAATTTCTTACCGCTAGTATGAATGATCGAGTGCCGGACTTGTAAGAAGACTTCCTATAAGGCACGCTTAGTGTCTGTGAGGAATTTATTACAAGAATTAAGGAATTATAAATTTTGAAATATTAATTTTTACAATTGAAATGAATTAAGATATATTTGAAAGAAAGTTTTTAGAGATTGAAAAGAAAATTTGATTACCTGAATTTGGTCATGAAGGAATTGAATATACCCAATAGCTTCTGTTAACACTGAAGCTGTATCTGTCTGCAAGTTTAAAAAATTAAAAAAAAAAAATTAAAAATAAAGTCTGTAAGCATGGTGCAAGTATATGTATTATGTACGATGTAGTTCGGTTATATATATATATACACCTTGCCAAAAGGTGCCACTAATTTATGCAAAGCTGCAATTCTGTCTCCCAGTTTCTCCTTCCTGACCTAGTAAAAACCCAATTCAATACCTGTTAGTGGTCACAAATAAAATAAAATAAAAACAGATATTGTTATTTACTATTTTACATTTCTTAGATAAATTGAATATCACCAAATTGAGGCAACCATCAAAAGTTAGTATATATATAAATATATATATATGCTAAATTAATTTTTACTTGATCAATACTTATATATGTATATGTTGAAAATTGAATGAGTACCTTCAATGGTGGGCATGAAGATCGTGGCATGGTCTTGTACTTCTTAGCTTTTTCTTGGGATTCCATTGAGCCGCTAGCAGTAAAAATACTTGGCGTCTTTGTTCTTCCACTGCCACTTTCTAAAGCCGACATTTTCTTCAGTTTTAGATAAGAAAACATAAAAATAAAATCAGTATTATTCTATCTATTTAGGCCATGCAGCATATATATCTATCATATATATATATATATATATATATATACATATATATTGTCATCAATGCTGCCGTTTTCATGACAAAGACAGAAGAGTTTATCATGAAAACAAGAGATATATGAACTAAGAACTAATCCCATTATGAGTCAGGAAACAAGGACACCATATATAGACAAACTTATTTCAGTGTTCAGGCACTACATTAGAGCTATTACATACATAGATGTAAATTTCAATATATATATATGAAATGGAAAAGGCATATATTGACAATGATAAACAGACTACAGCTGCTAACTGGTTAATTTATATATATGGTCGTTGAATCAATTGTCAAAACAAAGGTTGTTGATCAGTATTACGCATGCACGCGCACGCGCGCGCGCACACACACACACATATATTTTACGTATTAATATATAGATGTATATACATATATATAACAAAAAAAGTAGGAGGAAAGTAAAGGATACCCACTAATTTGGTGCAGGATCTTTTAGATGGAGTAATACTACTACCATCTCTTTCTGACTTCATGAAAATAGCGCTAGTTTCTCCTGATCTGATATTTAATCCCCCAAGATTTCTCTGCGCGAACGACGAAGACAATTGCCTTGACGAGTTCCTCCCAGTATCATCATTATCATGATCATAAGTTGATGACAATTCCGATCTCAAAACAAAACTATTGTTTGCATAATTGCTGGAGCTGTATAACAATGATCTACTAGTAGGTGTAGATACATGATCAATATTATTTCTCAAATAGTTCATATAATCATTGTAACTATTATAATTATTAGCCTGCAGACTTTGATGATGATGATCTGCTCCTGAAAGCTCTGGAAGTTGTTGATGATGATGAGTTGAAGAGAAGTTTCTGTCAAGGCTTATTAGGTTTTGGCTCAGAGAATCTTCTGCGTTAATTTCAGTCATGAGTAACTTTAGGAAAGAATTATAATCTGAGATTTCTTCCTTCATGTGATTTGCAAGAAGGGATTGTTGGTGATGATGACTGGGTGCCCATGGCTCAGATCCTGATGATGAGCTTGAAATGGTTTCACGGTGATAGTTCATGTTGTTGCTGTCATTATTCCTGCATTATTATCATTTAAGCAAAAACACTCAATAAAATTAATGTATAGATTACATACATATATATAATCAATGAAATTAAAATTAAGTATGAAACTAATTTTTTCAAATTTAACGTGCCTTTTCATGGCCTAAGCTCCTTGAGAAAATGTAGATGAAGCACAAAACCTGAATCGATCGAGAGCTAAGATCTAAAGTTTAAATATGAACTCTTTGATCTAATAAAGTTGAATCAATTTTATTGAAAAACCTATATACTTAAAAAGAAAAAAAAGCAATCTATTAATATTATTCATACATTTAAAAGATAATTAATTTATCTTTTCATATGTATACACACACACACATATATATATATATATGAATGTTGTCAGAAACGCAAAAGAAAAAACATTTATGTAGCTTGCTAGACATGTTCTTTGCTGCATTAATGTTGATTTGCTCGACCTTTTATAGCACTATAGTTTAGGTTATACATTATTCTAGGTACTTTTTTTGTAATTAATGAAGCAGCTTATCAAATAAGCAATGTGCTGAAATAAGTAGCTTACTATGACTCGTATATTATGCACACATCGATATATAAGTTGGGTGCATGTGTACTTTCTAATAGCTTGTAATTAAGATACAGATAACAATTAAGCTTCCACTACACATAAACCCTAACTAATATATCCTGTGTAATCAAGGGATATATATGTCTGTGTGGGTATATATATATAAACTTACAGAAAACCGGTGCTTGGGTGCCAATCATGAGAGGGTACTGAAACTTTATGGCTTGCTGTAGATCGAGTGGCCATGGAATAATACCTTGCTAACTGTTCTTGGAGCTGAAACTGAAAGTGGATGTTTGCTGCAGACTCCATACTTAACCTACTCCTGAGTTTGATCAAATATAACTCGAAAATCCCAAATGGATATTACTAATTAGAGCTAAAAAGAAGCTGATTTGACCCAAGGAAAAACTCAGAGAGATGTATATATATTCCAAATGGGTATTATTAGTAAAGCTACAAAGAAGCTGATTTGATCCAAGGAAAAGCTCAGATATCTATATAATATAATATATATAAGCTAATATTTCTGGACTCTTAAGAAATTTTTGAAGAGAGAAGCTAAACAAAGTTTGACGACTGGATGAAGATGAGCATATATATCCAAAGAGAAAGGATGTTATTGTGGATGTTTACTGTGAGCTTAAAAACCATGTACTGTGAGCATTTTATAATACCCCACTAAAACCCTCTAACTTCAGCATATTAAATATATATATAATTATATAATTTAAAGAAGAAAAATTAAATTTATGTGGATTTTTTCAAAAGAACAAAAAAAAAAAAAAAGGAAGAAGAAAAATAAACTTGTAAGCAAATACGTATACTCATTACTAGCTAGCAAGCTACCGGTTGGCCATGAGAGTCGGCAAGGAGGGTTTTTCGGTGAAAGGGCACAGGGCACTCCTTTCAAGGTTTAGGTGGTAATCATAATTAATTAGCACTTTCTCATTATTAAATAGAAATTAAAAATTCTACAATATTAACATATGTATTTATAGATAAAAGTGATAATACCATGTTTATTTTTTTAATTTTGAAAAATAAAAATAATTTATTAATATAAATTATAATTATATATTACTATGAAAATAAGATTTTAAAAATTTAAATTTAAAAATTATAAAAACAAAACAAAAATGTTAATACATAATAGTTATCAATTTAAATTTATAAAATATAAAAATATAATTTAGTTTTTAATTAATTATAAATTTTATACTATAAAAATAGAATTTAATTTTTCATTAACTAAAATTTGTACTCTTTAGAATTACCAATTAATTATCTTTATGTTCAACTTAGTTTAAATTTTTAAGTTTATAACAAATAGTGAAAATACGAGTAGGAATCTAAATGCAAGTGTTCACTTGATCTCCTCAACGCCCGATGAACAATATATAATTACAAATATATGTATGTGTGTAAATCGACACTTATAAATAATGTCAAATTATGAATTAAGAATAAAATTATCTTTTATATAATTTTAAATTTTAACTTAAAAATATAAGAAAATATATTTACTAGATTTTTTTTTTTAATTTAAACAATAATTCGGTATACCCTTCACTAAAATTAATATATACACAGCTCTTTTTCACCAAAAGTGATCATACCATACATATATTTATTATATGTATATATATATATAATAAATGGGTGAGCCTAAAAAAGTTAACTTAAAAAGAATGTATTAATAGAAAGTGGGAGAGATGGAGATTATGGGCAAGATTGCAGGCTTGTCATCGTCTTGGCTTGTCTCCAAACTTTTTTCTTTTTTATTTCACTCAAACCTTTTTAATTTATAAAAAAAAAATTAATTATGTTTATTAATATACTCTGCAAATTGCAATTAATTATACATTCTTCATAATTATAAAATTAAGAAGTAACTTTTCTAGCCGTACATCAAATTTTCCCGGTAAACAAACACCATCTGCTTTACCACATAAACACAAAACAAGTCACTTTTAAATACTAATACTCAAGATCCAATGATTCTGAAAATCTTATTTCTTTTCTTTTTTTTTAAATTAAGCCCATCAATGGGTCAACTCAGTTTTTAATTAATTTGGTTTTAATATGAATTAATTGGTTTTTTTACATTAAACTTTATATGATTTTTATAACAGTTTAATACTATATTGTTTGATTTTTTTTAATTATTTTATTTCTTTAACAAAATAATATACACATGCATTAATTGAAAATATAAATATTTATTTATTAAATAATACATAATATCCATAATTTCAAATCACGGTATCTTATAAATAAGATATTAATTATTCATGTATGTGTGTATATATATATATGTAGAATAAATATATTAGTAAAATAATTAATAAAGATTCAATTATTGCAGGAATAACATTGGGATTCCAAGATGCCTCCTTTATACATGTTCCATACCAATCAGGAATTTTAAAATTCCTATTTCATTTGCCATCAATTGGGATCCACGTTGGATGCATTATGTTGCAACATCATTTAAAAATTCACGTGTTTTCATTTTATATAATCATTATTATAAAAAAAAAATTAAATTATGAAGTAAAAAATATATATTCTTACAAATATTAATATTACAGTTATTTTAATTTTAATTTAAAATTGACCTTATATATATATATTATATAATAAGCTGCTTTATTATGATTAAATGAACATAATTAATTTAAAAACATCAATAACAACAACCCAGAAAATAAGGCCTGTTTTCTTATTTTTTATTCTAAAAAAAGACTAAAGTTGACTTAAATAAATTGATATGGTTGAGAATAAGACAAGTGATATTAAAGGGTAATTACTAGAATATCTGGTTAATTAAGTAATGATTTTCTTTGTTTAATCATAAAAACTTTTGATAGCCTAGAAGATGAAATAAAGCATGAGAGGGACCGTGGTCTATGGTCTTTTTTTTTTAATAAAGGGTAATTAAAGATTATTATATTAATGTTACACTTATTGTAATACACTATATTAATTATGAAAAAAATATAAAATTAATGAATAAAATTTTATTTTTTAATTTACGAATTTTTATTTGATTTAAAAATTAGGAAAAAAAATAGGTGGATGATGAAATTAAAAACAATTTTGAAAAAAATGAGTGAAAAATTGAGTTATAAGAGTGTTTTTGAAAGAAAAATTAGAAACTGGGGTCAAAACGTAATTTAAAAAAGATGTGTTACGTATGACCGCCCAGTTAGCAACTCCGACGAACCGGAGCCCGCCGCATGGCAAGGCACGCTGACGTAGTGTCACGCGGGAGGCCACACTGACGATTCCCGTGCCCGCAATCAGACGGTCCAGATTTGTTTCTGCGCGCGTGGATGGTCTGGATCCGTTCCCTCCTCAGACGAGATCGGACGGTCGCGATCAAACGCGATGAATGATTCAGATTTGTTTTCTCTTTAAACGCAATCGTACAGTTCAGATCAAATCGCGATGAACAATCCAGATTTATTTTCTATTTAAACCGGATTGGATGATGCAGATCAAATGCGATGGACAATCCAGATTAAAAGGAGATGAATATAAATACCTCACTTCACACCAAACTCTAACCATAGCCGCCAACCCCCTGCGCCGGAGAAGAAGAACCAGTTACCGGGAAGGGAGCCGACAGTCGCCCGCCGCCGCACCGAAACCACCTCCAACCGCCAAAAAAGATAAAAATTCTCCCAATCGCTCAAATTTTGATTTTGAACACCCCCATGAACAAACCAGAGCAAAATGACCAGTGAATGGGCCAAAAATCATGGGTAAAGCTCAGCGGCAACGGAAAAAATCAAAAATCACCTCCAATGAGGCTCTTTCTGATTCCCGTTTCGTGCAATTTTTCTACTATTGTATTCATCACTTTGTTTCCCACAAGTTGACCAAAGAAAAATGCCCAACTGTGAAGGTAAGTCGGCGGAGCCGCCGCACTGAAAAACTCCACCGCAGGTAAGCCTCCATTTTTCGACTTTTTTGGGGCAACCGAAGCCCCTTAACATGTTTTCTCGTAGGAATGAGCACAAAACCAGCCAAAATCGATCGAAACTAGTCAAAAATGACCAGCTCGAGGAAAATCGGCGCCGCCTGCGCTGGGCTAGAATCCCAAAATTGTCCAAAAAAAATTTTTAACACCAATTTTAGATTTTTTTGAGTATTTTTAGGTACTTAAAGTGTGTTTTAATCACCCAAGAAAAATTCAAAGAACCCGGGGACCGCTAGTAGGCGCAACTAAAAACTTAATATTTCAGACATCGATTCGAGTAAGAATCCATCATTTTATTCCCTGTTATGGAATTGAAGTCTAATTATAAATAATACGATGTTTTGCGTGATTTAGAAATATTGATAATTAAAGGTTACTAATTGAGTCTGAACCGGTTATTTATTACTATTTGTCGTATTTTAACTAATTGGTTGAATTTACAGTTTTAAATATATGATAATATACTAGAATTGGTATGATGATTCGTTTGTATCCTTTAATGCATGTATTGTTTGTTTTGTATGGTTCACAGTTAAATTGAGAAACTAAAAAATTAAATGTAAACGAAAAATTTTTTGATTAACTGAATGGGATGAATGGTAGCCTTACTGGATATCTTGGGAGATGGTGGACAGACTGGGTACATAGGGAACCCAACCGTGAATATTGTCTCATACCAGACAGGGTATCGAGAATTGAT